TCATCCTTACAACTCCCAACTAAAAACCTATGAACAAAAATTAAAGGAGAAATGGGTAGTTATGAGCTGGGGATGCAGCCTAGTGGTAGAATGCTGACCCAGCACGCTTGAAGATCTAGGATTCAACCTCTAAGAATAAAGAGAAGGAGGAGATTAACATAATCTGAGAAGTATTTTCCCTCGGATTGGGACTATAGCTCAGTGGCAGAGTGCTTACTTAGCATACATAAGGCCTTAAATTCAATTCTCAGTGTGTGTGTGTGTGTTGTGCACACACACACCATCTGAAGTATTTGGTAACTATAAAAGGAAACATGGTAATTTTAGTGCAAGTCTTGTGGCCAGAACTTTAACTAAATGATGGCTAATATCTCTAGTACCCCATGGTGGCAGGAGTTACTCCCTGATATGATGCAGGTCACCTCTGAAAACATTCTCCAAATATCATACAAATTCAGTCTAGTCAGGGAAAAATATCAAAAACACCCAATGCAAGATACTTGCTAAAAAGCAACTGACTAGAAATGTTCAAAAGTGGAAATCTCCTAGGTTTGAAGAAACTAAGCAAACAAGTGAAGTCCAGGTTGGCTTCCGGAAGAAAAAGGGGCATCAAAGGCAAAGAGTACTGAAACAGGAACAGACTCCACAGTGCTGGGTCTAAGAATAATGTCGGACAGTGGGAGATGACGGTAACATAGAAGAAGGCTGGGTGAAAAGGATCTGGGGAGGCAAATGGGAAGCACTAGAGGGAAGTGAACTCTTAGGGGGGAAGAGTGCTATTGGGTAGAGTTCTAAATTCTGTTTCTAGGCTGAAGCTCTAACTACCCTGTGGAGGGGCACACCAACAGAAAACCTGTGCTTCTGGCAGGAACCCAGAAGCGAGGTCAGGATACTCACAGCCACTGGAAGCCAAGCAGAAATAAGGGGTATAAACCTTGGGCGTTAGCCAGCTAGAAGCTAAGGCTAAGCCATGACGCCTCCATGCATTGAACTCCAGAACAGGTTAAAGATGTGAACTGAGATTGGTGTCACTGCCTCAAGACTAGTGGTCTCAATTCTTCCAAGTTAATTATCTGCTTGGACAATGAATGAATGAATGAATGAATGAATGAATGAATGAAATTTTAAAAATCGCTATTCTTCAGAGGAACATACACAAATCCAGAGTTCTCATCATGTTTATTCAAGATAACAAGGCAAAACCCAAAATTGTATGATATGAAAAACCAGGAATAAGTGACTAATTCTCAAGGAAAAAAAAATTAGAGTCTGAGACCAACCAGATGTTGACATTTTAAAATGAGAATTCTATGACAGTTATAATTATGCAGTGATGTTTAGAAAAACATGCAATGAATGGATAGGCAATCTCAACCAAGAGATACTCCAAAACAAACAGAAATTCTAAAAGTAAAATCAGCTTATAAAAGAAGGAAGTTACCACATGGCCTTAAGAATGAGGAGAGCTGCTAGGAGCCAGTAAACTAAAAAATTGATCAGTTGAAGCTATCTACTTGGAAAAAAACTTTTTAAAAAGGCAAATGTCCCATGAGCAGCCTGCCCATTAAGGTTATAATAAAGATATACAGAAGTAACATGTTTCACAGACGGAGAGAAGGTGGAACCTTGCTATTACCGGTAGGAACAGAAATTACTGAAGCTTTTGTGGAAAAGCTCAACAGTTCCTCAAAAAATTAAACAGCAGGGCTGGCAAGATGGCTCAGAGAATGAAGGCACTTGCTGCCAAGCCAGATGATCTGAGTTCGATCCCAAGGACCTACAGGGAGAGAGAACCTACTTACCTAAATTGTCCTTTGACTTCTACATGTATGCCCCTATTCCCCCAACACAATAAATAATGTTAAACAACAATCTGACCTTACCAATAAGATCCAAAAACAGATACTCAAACAAATGTCCACAGTAGTGTTATTCACCACAGCACCAACGTAGACACAATCTAAATGTTCATAACTGATAAAAAACAAGCATGCTATCACCACATGAAAGATTATTCAATCATGAAACTAATGAATTACTGAATGATCTGCAAAATATTATGCAAGTATCACGAAAGCTGCCCAGTGGTTATGAGCACTAATTGTTCTTCTAGTGGATCTGGGTTCGATTCCCAGTACCTGTATTACACAGTGCCACCTCACACTTTGCAACGCCAGCTCTAGGAGGTTCAACACCTTCTGGCCTCTGCAGACAGCAGGCACCCATGTGGTACATGGACATACTTGCAGGCAAAACACTCATACACATCAGAAAATTTAAATATTATGCCAAGTGAAAAAGCCAGACCCTAAACTACACCTTGCATGATTCTGCTCTGCTTATGTGAACTGCGCGGAGCAGAGCATGGAGATGGTGAGCAGCCCAGCCATCAGGGAGGAGGACACAGAAGTACTGCAGTGTCTTCTATATCCCTGGACTGTATCTTTTTGTGCTGTCACAGGATACCAGACACTAACTGATAAAGAGAATTTCTCGTAGTTCTGGAGCCTGGAAGGTACTAGCATTCAGGGAGGACGTTCTTGCTGCATCAGCTCATGGTAGAAGACCAGAGTCGAAGACAGAACCAGAGAGAAAAAAACCTGGACTTGCCCTTTCATAATCAGTCCATTCCTGCCGTGACAGCTTCATTCCATTCATGCCTATCAGACCCTCAGGCCTGTTCACCTACTGGGCACCCCACCAAATGCTACTGGAGATTACATTTCCAACACATCCTGGGGGACACACATTCAAACTGTAACACAATATAAGACCTGGGAATATCCAAGTAATGATTCTTCCTAAGTTAGGGACTCCATATTCTCTCCATCAAAACCCACCAACATTCACTTGCTTTTAAGAACCTCACAATGTCTGTTTCGTGTGGTAGTACAAAGGGTCTATCATATGGAAACCCTTTAAAATAAATGCAAAATTGAAAGATGTTGGTGAGACCATCATAAAGCTATGGGAGTCATGACTATTTGGCTCCAGGATAAAGACCAATGTCCCAAACACTGGAGTAGAGAGAATCAAGATTTAAAGCCACATTTTCATGGCACCTTCGTGAGGCAGACTCTGTCATAACACTGTTACACTAACTAGAAGCTTGCAACGGAAAACAATGCCTCTGGATTCACATTAACAACCTACATACATACAAGGAAATAATCCAAAGTGAGCTGTGGACCTAAATGGAGGCGCCAAGATTATAAAGCTCTGAAGAGAATATATTTTGGGGGGAAGGGAGCTTGAGGTAGGAAGTGAGAAACAAAGATGATCCTTTAGATTACAAAGACAATTTCTTTTGTCTTGCTATGTTGGTGAGGCACATCTTTGTTCCCAGCATTCAGGAAGCAGAGGCAGACAGATCTCTGAGTTCAGGGCCAGCCTGATCTGCATAACTTTCAGGCTAGGCAGGGCCACGTAGTAAGACCTAATGTAAAAAAACAAAACAAAACCCCTTCCTTTTCAAGGGGTTGTATGTGTATTCTGTAATGTATCATAGTCATAAAATAATAAAAACGTAACTTCCCTTTGCTGCCCTCACTGGAGACCCTCAGGACACACTGCTTATACAAAGCTGTATATTGCTTTGCCTTCATTCTGACAAGTATATACAGGGAGGAGGCAGTCATATACAAAGAACTAGACATTACATGGAAACTGTCTCTTAAACCTCTTTGAACTCCAACATTTTTCAGGTTTTGCTTACTAAGAAATTCATCTTCAGATGCTACAAATGTTGTGCCTCTAAACACGAACCTACTGAAACCATTAGACTTCTGGCTTCTTCAGCTCAGATTAACTAAATAGGAAACACCCTGGTTCCAGATGATTCCAGATGTGGCAGGATCTAATGAGCTATAAGAGTAAATCCCACAGAATGCAGATGCTTTGCAAAGAAAGGACCCCATGGCAGCTTTAAAAGGCATACAAGTTATTTCCCACTCTACTGAGCAGGCTCTGCGACTGCATGGCCAGCAGGGCATGATGAAAGGGATGCTCTGAGTTTCTGGATGGGCAGCTTCCTCTTCCAGCTGCTGTGTGGAGGGCAATGAGGAAGTCCTGTGAGGAGGAAAGGGGACATCAGGTTGAACTCCAGGGCAAGGCCAGCATCAACTTGGCCAGTTCTGCTCAAGTGGGTTTGTTTCCCTCCTTAAGAGATTCCCAAGTGACACTGGAGGATCCAACGGGATATTCCCACCAGTCTTGTCCCACACTGCAGACTGGAGGACAGAGTAAATGAAATACTGTTACAGTGACAGCCACTGGGCCAGCCCCCAGTGTCATACACCCCTAGACATAAACTTCCTCAAGACTGCAGCCTGACAGCACCCCCCACACACCCCACACACACCTCAGGTAAACATGTAACTCCAAAGGCCACAGGGTCAACAAAAAAGAAACCCAGCCAGGCTCCCGCAGCCTTCACTGCATATTTATTAGGGACACCCACAGTACACACTCTCCCACACAACCATCAAGGGCAAGATCACACACTGCTCTGGGGAGTACCTTTGCTGAGTCTGTTACCACTTTGAGAGAGCAAATCATCTGCAAAGATGAATATTTAATTCCAATGCCTCCACTTGAATCCTGCTGTTGGAGAAGGAAGAGGTATGGTTGGTTCAGCAGGGCCTGGAAGTGGTTTTGGAGTGTTTTTAACTTCGAAGAGCATCAGAAGTTTCCATTGTCTGGTTGGACCAGTTTATGATTTTCATATGCAACTTTTCATATTCATGTTTCATTTATTTTTTACATCTATGCACAAATAGATGCCATTTAAAAAAAATAAGAACAACACACTCGCTCACAGCGAAGTTCAAAACCAATCAAGAACCGCAGCTTCCTGGCAGGGAAAATGAACGTGTGCTGCCCTCTCCTGCTACAACAGTGAAACGAGAAATAACCAGGAGAGGCTGAAGTGAAATCTTCAAAGGGGATGGCCACGTCATTCTCATCAGACTCCAATCAAAAACCAGACAACCACCAGAACATGTATTGGTAATATTTATATTTGAAAGTTCCCCATAGATACATGAGGTTTAGATTACAACTTATTTACAGTAAGTGATTTTTAAAAAAAAAGAGAGAGAAAGGAATGGGCTGAGAAAGAAAGAAACTAGTGAGAGGGGAGGATGGGGAAGCAAGGGACGGGGAGAGAGGAGGGGAGAAAAGGAAACCTATGTTCACAGACGTCGTCATGTGGGGTGCTCGTGTCCAGGAGACACTACGGCCACTCTCGTGCACAAGCAGCAGCGCAGATTAACATTCCGCTGAGCTCAAGGTCTGCTCCTCTTCCTCGAGATGCACAATCCTCCTTCCGGGTTCTCAAAATTAAAGGTGGAGGACTAGAAAATGCCTTGCTGACATCCTTAGTAGAAAAGTCCTTTATGGCTCATTCCCTAACTCCACTCAAGAGAAGCAGCTGAGCCAGAATACAAAAATAAAGATATTCATGTGCAAATAAAATGTCACTCATCACATCTGCTGCCACCTTCCTGCGACAGGTGACCGTCACTTTGTGGTACTGTTTGTAATAACATGAAAGGAGAGACGCTCTTCATTTCCTGGGCCAGGGTCAGTGCATCCAGTTAAAAGGGAAAACAAAGTAGGAAAAAGAAAACCTTTGGAATACTTCATAATGCCGATACCAGCCTCCCAGCCTCCCAGCTCCCTACCCCTCACGCCCACAAAGACATAAAACTGCTTTGAAAGCTCTAAGTATCCTTTATTTCCCTTTCCATAATGTGACTGAGCCTAGGGCTGTGTGTTCAGCACAGCAGGTGGGATTCCAAGCACACCCTAGGTCTGTCTCCACCCTGGACTGTCTCGGGCACAGATAGGAGGTACAGAATCACATGACCCTGCCACCTAGGCAAAGAGCCCAAGGAGGAGGAGCTTGCTCTGCTCCTGCACATCCAGTCACATTCAGGGGATTATTTATTTATTTTTTATTTTATTTTAAAAAAAAAACAGTCAAGGTCAGGAAGAACAAAAATATAATCAAACTTGCAAAGGACAGTAAGTAAACAATGAAGGAGGGCCACCGGGGACATGGGCACAATGAGGAGTGTATGTCTGATCCAGAGGAGACGGTCACTTCACCCCCACAGCTGTGGCAGGCCTACAGCCCGCGCATCCTTCTAAATCACAAAATTTAAAATTCCATTCAATTTTTTTTTTCTTCCAAGGACACTCTTCGTCCCATCCCTGAAACCAATATGGTAGGGATAAGGCTGGAGTGGTCACCACTCACTAACTACAATATTTGCTATTGAAAAAATATATTTATATATAGTTCTGGAAACTATGAAGCAAACAAAATAGAACAGAGAGCTGAGTGTGTCACGGTTAACTCACAATGAGCAACAGCAGGATTGCCCGGGGAGGGTCAGACAGACAGGAGGCTGCTGCAAACGCAGCAAGTATGTCCTCAAATATGTCACACTGGGTAACAATCGGGTTACCTGGGCTAGCTTCTTGTCACCACACACAACATGACGGGTGCCACATTGTCGTTTTCAGTGAAGAAGGAAAAGGAGTGTTTTTTCTCAGAAGTTGCCCTGTGAGTTTAGACAGACAGACAGCTCTAATCACATCTTCCAATAGTCTAAAGCTTAGCTTTATTCTTCTCAGTTGGGAATGATCAACAGACGGAAGGGGGGTGCCGTTCGCCCTTGGCTCAGAGGACAAGGACGTGGTGCAGACAGAGAGGTCCTTACCTCTCTCATCTCAAATGAGCATATTTCATCCCAAGGGGCACAGGTCACGGCAAGCAAAGTTTATACTATCAAAGATATGTGTGATGAAAATCGAAAGGTAAAGGCTAAAATAGAGAGAGCTAAAGAGATGTGCTACGGGTTTCTTTCTTAGTATCAATGTGTGAACTTGCACCTCTGCCCAGCACTTTTCCACATGGAATCCTCCCTAATAAAAGCCCTATTCATTCCACTGAACCATCTTGTACTCGGAGGTCACACACCTTAAAAAAAAAAAAAAAAAAGCTGGGCGGTGGTGGCGCATGCCTTTAATCCCAGCACTCGGGAGGCAGAGCCAGGCAGATCTCTGTGAGTTCGAGGCCAGTCTGGACTACCAAGTGAGTTCCAGGAAAGGCGCAAAGCTACACAGAGAAACCCTGTCTTGAAAAACCAAAAAACAAACAAACAAACAAACAAAAAAACCCACTATGTTCCTTTTTGGGGATCAACAAAGGCATTTAAAAAACAAAAAACAAAGGTACCTAGATGAAAATACCCATAATTAGCTTACTTTTATATACACACTGTGACTGACAATCTGGAAACACTTCATAAGTGAGTAAGGTCAATGGCTTTTCCTCTCCTTTTTCTTGCAAACAATAAAGCTGTATATTCTACTTTACATTTAAAAGGAAGGAAGAAAATATACAAGCCCATATTTATACAGTATTTCTACTAAGAGCAACAACAGTTCATGTGTTCATATTAGCTATGATCACAACTCAACACATGAACACAGAATGGGCTCTACTCCATGAACACTGCTGGACGCGATGGTCCGGGGTTATCGGCTCACTGCTGCCCTGTCTTTAACAAGCAAAGGCTTCCCAGGAAACAAACCCCACAACATGAATTTGTCAGTACACAGCAATGCAACCACATCAGGCCAATACGTACTGCACACCAGTACATCAGCAATTTGCCTACCCAAGTAAGATTCTTCCTTTAATACAGAGCAGGGAGCCAGTAAGATACATCTACAGTATAGCCCTAGTTTTGTGTTTTGTTTTTTCTTAAACAATTTGGTCACAATGCACCTTTGATATAAAAGCATTTTTTAAACTTTATTATTAATACTCAGGACATTAGGAATTTCCAGATTTTTTTCAGTAGCATTTGTAGAACCACTTTTGGTAACAAATACAGTAGTTAGGAATATGCATCCATATCAGAATGCATAATGTTGATCCTGAATCCTTTCTGGCTAAAAACAGGGCTGGCGCTGTGATGAGCTATGGAACCTGTTTTGTTTCTCCCAGAGGCTGCATCCTCTTTTGCTGAAATACTTTGTAAGTACGTATTAGAAAGTAAGGCAACAACTCCAAACAGTCCGTGCTGTTTGCTCAACTGGTTCCCAACTGGATGCGCAGTCCTGGTGCTCAGCTTCATGGTTCTATCACTTAGTGTTCTGTCTTTCTTACTTCACAGGGTCGGAAAGGATGTTTCTGTGACATTTCTAAATTGTCTCTGGTCTGGATGCACAATGATGTCTGCAGCAAATGCTGCAGGGCTGAAGCCTGCGCGTCCCGCTGCCTGTTTTCAAAGGATTCAAGACACTGATCTGGACTCCCCATATCTGATACGAAGCCCAACATTCCCTTCGCTACTATGCTTATCACCTCTTCTTTTTTATGCTTATCACCTCTTCTTTTTTCACTCCTAACCTGAAAACTAAAGGAGTACCAGGAACACCTGGGCACTGGGCAGATGTTCACCCAGCAGATAAATTTCACCAGGGACCTCTGTAATTCACTGCCCCATTCCACGTGAACATTCGACTCATGAAGATGTGCAAAAGGAAAGGATGTCAAATTACAGTCAAGTTGTCCAGAGGAGGGTGTTGTACAAACTTATAAAGAAATGACAATCTTTTCTTCCTTTACTATAAATACATTTAACAGCTTAGCAGAAAGACAAGCTAAATTTAAGATTGTTCACATTTGAAAATTGTATCATACTCTCTGCTAGTGATAAATAAGGAACTCCTGATAATGGAATTTTAACATAGCAATTTCACCAACAGATCTCTGAAGACCTTTTGTTTTGTTTTGTTTTGTTTTAAAGAGGGTTAGAACAATGATTATGTTTGCAAAGTTCTGAGAAGTCCATCTACTGTCCAAACTTTGGATTGAAGTCCTTATGTTTTCCTTTACTTAGAGACAGGTATATACAGTGCTGTTGTAATAATGAGACAAATGTGAAATCTACTGTAAAGTTGCACAATACAGAAAACTGTTGCTCCATCCTTCTACTACATAAGCGTGTGACCCCATGGGTTAGTGATGTCGTGGTCAGATTGTTGTTAAGTTGGAATTATCCCGTCACGCCTAAGACCTCTCTTTAACTCCAGATCCTCCAATTTTTTCCACAATTCTTCACGCTCCTTTTCTTTCTTTTTCTCACTGGAGGAAGAAACAGAAAACAACGTAAACAATCGAGAGTGGTTGGTGAGACTGCCCAACAGAATCAGCCTTTCCCTCACAGAGGCCAAGCGGCTCTGAAGCAACTGGCAGCAAGCTTCTCGGGGTTTCCTTTGAGGGTCTTCCTCATGTGGGTGCTACTTTGACACGCTCACGGACACACAAGTAGTACTAATGAAAGCAGGACTGTCTTAAGATTTCCATTAACAACACCCCTTTATCTGTAGATACAGTATAAATTATAACACAGTGCAATGACTGAGAAAACTGGAGGTGGCTTCTAGTATCATCTATCTTAACACAAAAGTGCCCGGGAGCTCTGAAATGCTCAGGGCCTTGTTAGAATACAACCTCCTGTTTGTTCCCAATAAACACTCAAAAGAGAGGCTGGAAATGACACGGGAAGAAACAGACAAGATAAGAACACACACTCTCTCCTTGATCTGTATCTGTTTTTCCCATACAGTGTATACTGAAACTAGGTCATTTCTGAAAACACATGATCAACATTTATATCTTATAGTATATATTTATATATTATAACATGAGAATATATCAATGATCTACATGAAACTTTGTGGATACGAGTATTATGATGTATTAAAATTTTAAGTGAGCCTTCAAACTTGGTTAAATACCAATTTACCAGTGATTTCCAGAACTCCAGACTGCATTGTTTGGCAAAGTTTACCACAATTGGATAAGTCAAAATTGGTTCAACAATTTAATTTTGCCAAAGACATTTGGAAATTTCAGTATTGTTTTCAAACAAATGCTTTAATATCAATCAAGTAGGAATTACATAATCAAAGAATATAAAACTATATTACAAATTAAACACATTCACACTTATTAAAAATATTCATCACATGAATTCACATCTACTAATATAATTCATTTCATTACCTCTGGCTTACTGAAATGAACTGGTGAAAAGTAGAGCCAGATAACACTGTGAATTCACAATTTCATAAATTCGAACAGTTCCTAAGCACAGGAGCTCTGCTGCTCCAGACTCAGGAATTTGTCCTTGCATATCCCACTTTAGCAACACTATATTCTTTATTCAGAGAAATTAATAAGGATAATGTAAGCTCTGCACTATTTTAGTAATCACCAATACTTTGCAAAGTTATATTAAATTCTCTAACAATAGGAAATAGGAGCTGGAGAGATGACTCAGTGGTTAAGAGCACTGGCTGTTCTTCCAGAGGACCTGAGTTCAGTTCCCAGCACCCACATGGCAGCTCACAACTGTCTGTAACTCCAGTTCCAGGAGATCAGACATCCTCTTTTGTCCATTCCTTGTAGGTACATGGCACACATACATAAAGGCACACAAACACATAATACATAAACTCATACACATAAAAGAAGAATAAACTTTTAAAAAGAAAATCCCAAACCAATCAAGTTTCATTTTCCTTGAACTAAAGAACAAAACAAAAACCTTAAAACAAACAAACAAACAAAAACAAGTAATTTGACATTTCCATTTCAATCACACAGTCATCTCTATCTGCACTTTATAGTTAAGATTCTGGCAATTCAGACCTTGTTTACTATGACTGCTATCTCTGGTGCAATCTGCACAGTGTGGATCTCAGCAGCATAATGAATGGTCTTCCAACATAAACTCTTCAAACTTACGTAATAATTTTGAACTATAACAACTGCATTTAAGGGCGTAAGGGGCAAGATTAGAAAAGTCTCCATTCATTATGCATTATTTTTTATTTTTAAAAATTAAGTTGGAATTTATTCAGAAAAACATTTGAGGTGCTGGGGAGATGGCTCTACAACTGCGAGCCAAGGGCTGCTCTTCCAGAGGACCAGGCTCAGTTCCCAGCACCCACGTGGTGGCTCGCAAATGTCTGTAACTCCAATTCCAAGGGCTTCAAACTCCCCTTCTGGCCAGGCACCAGACACATGTGTATAGCACATACATATACACAGGCAAAGCATTCACACACATAACAGATAAAAATAAATGCTTCAAAGGAGAGTTTAGCATGTGGTTCCATACTCATACAGTTGAGGCAGGAGGATCACCTGAGTTCAAGGCTAGCCTAAGCTACAGTGAGACCCTATACCTCCTCCAAAAAGGCAAAAAGCTGAACAAATATTTTAATAAAGAATAAAACAGAGGGAGATAGAGGCTGAAGAGGGCCACACCCTAGAGTGGGTATGATTCTAGAAAGAGAGTTGCTGGCTTCCAGACTCCAGACTCTTGGTTGTAAGCAAGCTGCTGGGCAATATCCCTTGTTTGTTTGACAGTACAGTCTGCAGGTAATATCAGTCTAAACAAATATTCTCGGGGAATGCTGATTTAAGTACATGGACGTACGTTCTACAGCTCATATGGAGTTCTAATGCCTCTGACTTCTTTGTTTGAAGAAGCAGAGAGGAGAGAAAAGGTTTGGGAACTTCTATCAACTGAAAATCAGCTCATCGTGTGGCAGTTCACACCGCCCTGAACTGCAGCTGCCATCATGACATCATCATCATCATCCTGCTGAAGCTCCTCACTCGTTCATCCCTCCACAGTATGCAACGTGCTTTGTCCTGTGTGTCCTTTCTTTCTCCAGATGAACGTATACGGAGACGCCACACTGCTTTCATACTGACAGCTTTATTTTTAAAACTTACAGTCTCAGCTTAGGACATCCTCATCATCCCAAAGAAGAAATCATGCTGCCCACTTCTTCCTCCAGCCCCCGGCACCCACTGGTCTGCTGCTTCTATGGATTTTCCTTCACTGGCCTTTCATAGAAGTGCAATTATATACTGAGAAACAATAGACAGTTCTCTTCTTTTGTTACTGCATGTAGCCCAAGCTGTACTCCCGCTCCTCATATTTCCACCTCCCAAGTGCTGGGATTACAGATGTGCACCACCACATCTAGCTCCTAAAAGTCTAAAGTACTCTGATGCATTTAGTGCTACCCTTATTTTTCTAGTTTTTCTCTCTGTCGGTGGGAATTTTAAGACTTCAGCACACTGTAATGCTGGGAATCTTGTCAAATTCTCCTCCCATTTCATTTTACATAGCACTAGTGTTGGCACCCATATGTAATAGTGTTAAAAGCTTACTCCACCCACAATTCTGATTTGTAATGCTTCAAAAATCTGCTGTGAACTGAAACCATCAACTTCCTGTCATCAACAAGGAAAACCTCATATCTGGCTCTTCCATCACAGCCCCAAACATCCATGTCCAATTACTAATTAACAGTTACTATCACTTCTGTGGCAAAGCCAATACTTGGATCTGCTCAGTACGACTTTCTAATTTTGCACATTTGCCAAAGTATCATCCTTGTTTTTTTAAAAAAACAAAGAAATAAATAAAAACAACTTTCATTAAGGAAGTCCATTCACTATTAACCACCTTAACATTCTAACATAACAGTTTAACCTCACAGTTCTGTCTATTTTCCTAGTCCCCTTAGTTAATTCCATCTATTTTCAAGTGATTCATCTATTTAGCTTAGATAATAAAAGATCACAAAACAACTTCATTGAGGAAATTCATTAAAGATGAGTCAATTAATTTGAAATAAGGTCGTGTGTGTGTGTGTGTGTGTGTGTGTGTGTGTGTGTGTGTGTGTGTACAGTGGTCCTGAGAATTGAGCACAGGGCTTTATATATATGCTAGCCAAGCATACTCTGTAACTTAATTATACTGAAGCTTCTTCGATATTCTTAATAAGATTTTACCCAGATTTAATCCCTGTTTAACTAGAATACTAATAAAGATTATAGGGATCTCTGCTGCCCTAACAGGTAAGTGCTGTGTGTACACTGTTTAATGATTCATTATGATATTCTAATGTGCCTTTAGCTCCCCCTCCCCTTTTGAAATGGGTGTTCTTTGCCTGCCCGTATGTCTGTGCACTATGTGCATGCCTGATCCTAAAGGAGGCCTAAAGAGCATGTCAAATCCTTTGAAACTAGAGTTACAACTTTTGGGAGCTGTTGTGGGTGCTGGATTTGAACCTGGGTCCTATGGAAGAGCAGCAAATTCTCTTAACAGCTGATTCATCTTTCCAGTGTCCCTTAGCCCTTTTAAAAAATAACTTTTCAAAGATTTTAACTTAACTGTAGGGCAAGGAGGGTCATTATAAATTGAGTAATTTTTAACAATTGATAATATTGTGAATTAACAGTTATTTAGGTTTCAAATGTAATAGAATTAACATTTATCTCAATGTTGTAACTAAAAACAATGTTGTAGTTAAAACCATATTCTGTGATTAAACTGTTTCCCATAAACCACATCCCTGTAACTTAAGAGCAATCTCTGCCATGGTCCTTGGTCCTCTGTTCCCAAACCTTCCTACTCAATGCCCTTTTCCTCAGTAAAACACAACTAATACATTCTAAATACGGCAAAGCAAAGAAGCCAAAAAAAAAAAAAAAAAAAAAAAAAAAAAAAAAAAAAACTACAAGAAATCCATTTCCAATTTCTTCAAAGAGGGAGGTATGAACACTCCCAGTCCTACTCGGGCTCCTTAGGGTCCACCCTTTAGGACCTACAGAGCCAACATTTGCATCCTCGTGATCAGTCAGGCCA